CCCCAAAACCCCAAAACCCCAAAACCCCAAAACCCCGTATATAAATTTTAAATATAATATGACTGAATATCCCCAGGAAGTCAGCCAGCAGAAAGTGTTTTCTCTCATCAATGAAACTATCCAGCATGTTCTGGACAGCGGGGTTCAAGACCATATTTTGATCAAAGAGGTAGATTCAAAATAAATCTGCCTTCACAATTGGTATTAATCCGTAACTATTTTAGATAAAATACTCAACATATTTTCCGATCTTGGTCAGTTGGGTCACTTTAAAGATGATCCAAGCAAGAGACTAGAGATTAAAGAAGATTTTGAGGACCCAGAAGAACCCCCTTGTTGTGCTAAAGACTCTCTTTGTTGAGGAAGTATCACAACAAAATAAAGTTCTAAACCTCCAACCAGGGATTGATAAAAAGCAAGGCAAAATGGATAGGTCATTTGGAAAGACTTCTAAATCTTCCTCATTTTCTCATAAAAGTAATTTCTGGGATTAACTTTCAGCCGGTATCAAAAGAAGACTCTCAACCATCAAAAAGAGCAAGACCGATAAAATAAATGATTCAATGGACCTTCAGCAAGAAGAAGTTTTTGTGCCCAAACAAATAGATGACTTGCCAAAGCAAGTCTACAATGATAGCATTGATGGTATTTACCAGCAAATTTAAACTCTAGAAACTACTCTGGAAAACTTAAGAGTATACGTAGAGAAATAGAAAAAGAGATCAACAAAGACTACAAGCGATTAATAATCGTAACAAGAAGAAGAGAACCAAGCTCCAGTTAGGCCTAAAGACTCCAAATTTCTCTAAAATCCAAGAGAGTCACTGCTTAGATGAGGATACTTTTGTCAAAGTAAAGAACCTTAACGGGAACAAGTTGCCAAAACTAACCCAAGAGAGCTATGCCAATGTCGCGATTGAAAACTCTCCTACTGAGAAAGAAGAAGTTAGTTCTTCTTCAGAAACAGAGAAGTCATATGATTTCTTTGAAGGTAATCCCATCCCTCATATTTAGCAGAGAGACCCCAGTTTGCAGAGGAAGAACCAGAAAAGCAAGAGACCAAGGAAATTTATCAAATAGGTATGTGAATTTGTGGAGATTTTGTAGATAAGGAATATACCCGGAAACAAGACATCTCAGACTGCTTCCTCGGCCTTAGAAAATATATAGAATGTAAGAACTATTTTGAACATCTAGGCAATTACGGAGTCACCTATCAAGAACAGTTATCAGTTTGACTAATTCCTTTAGAAAATCTAAGTTAGATTTAGAAGAAGAAATCAATGGCAAGAAGTCAGATATAAGCCAAGAAGATGCCCCAGGATTTTCAATGGGAGGAAAGCCTTACAGAGAAAAGTTCAACAATACTAGACTTACAAAGGTAATATGCCTCAAAGAGGATTCTCATTACTCATATAGCAAGAGTATAATCAGAGATACAACGATTATTCCTCATCAGACTACAACTTAGCATTTCCTGGAAATAGTGAGATCAAGAAGCAGAAGTACACTATAAACAAGAAGGACTCGCCCTCAAGAAAAAGACCTAACTTGAGCAGGAAGGGTGTCTTATCTCCATACAATCCTCTGAAGAAAGGCTTTTTCAGAAGAAAGCTAACTTACAGTGAGTCTAAGAGTGGAAATGCTGATATCAGATCAATGATGGACTTGTCTATTGGGTCTAAGAACGTACAGCTACCAAAAGTTATTCATAATGCTGAAAGAGCAACTGAAATATTAGATCTGAAGGTCAGAAGATCGACCAGGACAAATCTTGGCCAAAATAATAAGTCCACAGATGGGCTAATTTCAGCTCAAAAAGAGTCTATACAGTAATTTTTCTACTAATTCTCTTAGGAACTTGGTCAATGAAGCCAAGAAGGGACTTATCCCTCCAGCATTTATGAGAACTAAAGGCGAATATAATTCAAGTGTTCATGATAAGTTTCATGACAGTATAAGAAATGATGAAAATTGGGGTAAAGCTCCAAATTCCTTCAAAGACAAGAAGATGATTGCCAACACAAGATCATATGACAACTACAGAAAAATAAGGTAGGCTTTTGCATATTTACTGCTAGGAATCTTAGCGAGAGCTTTAATAAGAATGATATTAAGGGCAATTATATGACCAGACCGGGCTTAAACAGCAGTTCCATATCCATTTCAGGAAGACTCAAGGACCCATATGGAGTGCTTTTTAGTGACTAATTTTAGGAATCCAAGAAAATTGACTCAAAACGACTATCAACACTAAGCCTTAGTAATTTTTACTGTTAATTTTATAGATGATAGATCATTAAACCTGAGTATTTCTAAAAAGAACAGCTCAAGAGCAAAGCTAAGAGTTTCTAAGAATATTTCTAGGAAAGGTACAGTACAGGGCCGAGGGAGTGCATATTGGGACTTAGAATCTTAAAATTATATCTAAAAGGCTTTCTAATATATTTATGAGAATCTTTTGAAGATCCTCTCAGAATTTAATTATCTAAAGCTTTAAGAAACAGCTCAATGCTATCTCAAAGCATCATTCTATCTATGACTTTAGGGGACATTTCTCATCAAAGATTCACAAGTAAGAGGAAGGAAATACTTAGAAACCCATACAAAAATGTAAACGAAGCATCTTAATTTTCAATCTCTCAAAACAGGTTTGGGGTTTTGGGGTTTTGGGGTTTTGGGGTTTTGGGG